GTCCTCCAGGAAACCAAAGCAAGCAAGAAAGACGACGAAAGAAAGAAAAGAGGCAATCCTGCCTCGTGTGGCACTGGTGATAGTCGTGTTCCTCCAGGACCGCTGGGGACGCGGGGTTTTATGAGCTCTCTCCACGCCACCTTCATCAGGAGCTGCCACTTTCCTGGCCCAAACGTGTTCTCTCAGGAAGGAGGAGAAGCCAAGCAAAGAGATAAAGGCAGCCTGAAGTTTATGGCTATTGTTTAGGTCAATAATGTATTGATTACCTATTTTGTGGGCTAAAAGGTTGACCTTTTAAAGGGCAATTGGCGCCTGCGAGATTTGATTTAGCAGAAAGAAAAGAATTTAAATTTAATTTTCACTTCGTATTTCAGTTGGGAGAAACTTGCAAGATTGCAGACGCCAAAGCTGCTTTTTCTTGGGGAGAGGCTGAGGGTTTTTTTCTGGAGCCATCACAAAGGAAGAGCTTCATTTCAGGGTGAAAATGGCTCTGTTGCTTCTCTCCGCTCCAATGCTCAGCACTGCAGAGACACTAGGAGACACAAGGCACTAACCAGAATATTTAAGCTGAAGCTCCGCCAAGTAAATATACTGGATACTGAATATCCCATATCAAGGAACGACGGTGGGTTTTCCGCCCTGTAGGAACAGCCTGAGCAACAAAACAACACGCAAGGCTGTATTAGGAAAAAACCCCACATTTTCGGGCAATTCCTAGCGACCAATTCTTTGCCCACCATTTATTCCCCATTTCCCCAGAGAGGTGCCTTTGCCGCGCTGGCACCCAGGGCCACCATCCCAGGTGCAGTCCCTCTTTCCCTACTGGTTTTGCTGACCCAGATCCCATCTGAAGAGGCCACCGGTGGTCCTCAAGCACCTGGTTTGGAAGAGGCTTTGAATTTCCAGATCCAGTTTTGACCCCGGATGGTTTATTCCCATTATTGTCTCGTTGAGACAGTCCTTAAACAGGGACAGCCAGCTCTGGTGGGGCTGAGCATCCCAGGTCCCCAGTACCCCAAGCACCCACACTGGGCAGGATTCACGCAGAGGGGCACTGCAGACTGGGATGCAGGAGCTGCGCCAGGAGAGGGGACGGACCCTGCCAATGGCTTCAGGGACAAAAATAGAAGCAGCGGGGTGAGGCCAGCTGTTCCTAGTTTAAATTGCCAGTTTTTAATAAGCTGTCTTGCTCTTTGAAAAGCATTTGTTTCGTCGTTTTGTAAACAGGAGGAGGGGCTGGGGTAGCATCATCGGGGACGTCACCGAGTTTGTCACCACTCTGTAGCTCCTCTCTGGATGCTCGAAGACCTCCGCTTTTCTGCCGGTGCTGTCGGATTTAGGGTTTTCAGCAGCACAAAGTGACTATAAGGAAGACTGAAGTCTGCCATTTAGTTTGCCAATACAGCTGGCAAAAACTTTATGTACAGCCGAACATTTCATCACGTCTGCCAAGCCATATTCATTTTGGATTAATTTTAAGACAGTTTTTAAAGTGATGATGAAGGATTATGCCGTGCGCTTCAGCAGCATTAAAAAAAAAAAAAAAAAAGAAAAAAATCTCTCTTCTTTTTAAATCTCTCATTCAAATTGTCCCAGTTTGGCAGCTCAGCAGTGTATTTGATTTGTGATTTGGAGGGATTCACCGATAGTGACATTTTCATTTATCTGAGTACATGTAAGTGCTGGCACAACCCGTGAGTAGTAGCAGTGCCTTCAATATTAAACATGGCTACTTGAAGTAATTCATTTGCAAGAACGCAGTATAGCCCCACCATATGAAAAGCATCCATCCAGCAATAACCTAGCATCTATGATTAAATGCTTACAAGCTTTTCATGCTGTAATCTCAGCTGGAGCCTTGCAGTTCAGGGTTAACTACTCTCAAAGAGCAAAGTATTTACAACACTCTTACTCCAGAATAGTCCCAGGTTTTCCCAGGGAAGGGATCCCAAAAATCTGTAGTCAGGGCCATGCAAAGGAGGGATGTAGCTCACGTGTTGCTGCTTTTGAGACCCCAGCTCATGCAATCATGCAGCCATTTCCATGATTACCTTAAACCATTGCCTCCACAGCCCATAGCACCTCCCTGCCCTGCTCCTAATGAGTTCTTGTTCCCAAAGTCACAGCGGGAAGTACAGCTCTGCCAGTCAGGTCAACCGAGGTTATAAGAATTGCCCTTTTGCCTTTGAAATATTATCTTCTGATAACAGAACTGTTATCAGCGTAATGAATGACGCTGGTGATGTTCGTCGATGCCTCACGCGCAAGAGGACAACCCCGGAGAACTCGGGCAGCGTCTCGGCGATGCCACAGCAGCCTGGGGATGTCCTGCCAACAGGCTCCTTTTCTGAAAGGGAAAAAAAGAGGCCAACTCCCTGCTTTCATGATCCTTTCCCTGAACCCATCCGCATGCTGCTGCCCCTGGAGCACTGCTACTGAATCTGAATGTCATGAATGAACCGTGCCAAGGCACCGTGAATGAATAATTCTTAGAGTTAAAAGCCAGCCTTTTAGCCAAGCTGAAAATAATTCCCAGCCCCATCCAGCATAACCCAGACAACCAACCTTGTGACATCCGGGATATCCTTCTCCGCAGAATTTCATCTCAAGGGATATTTGTACTGTACCAAGAGCTCACAGCCACCACGGCTTCTGCTAGAAGATGTCCAGGAGCCGATGCGTCATCGTCCAGGTGCTCAGGATGCCCTGAGCAAATTTGCTGCCAATAGCTCTTTGGCAGTAAACCCAACTGGTGCCCCCAGCCAGCTCTTGATGGTCAAGATGGAGCAGTCCGGTTGGATCTAGAGGCCAACGCTGGTGGAGCCGAGAACATCGCTCCTGCCTCACCAGCTGACTGCAGCTTGCCAAGGGAGTGGGTAGGTATTTCCCCGCCACCCTTTAAATGACAAATGACATTTGACTGCCAGAAATGTTAAAAATGATTGGGTCTGTGTCATGCTGCTGAAGACAATTTTATGGATTTTCTGTTGAGTAATTAAAGGGAAAAGGAGCCTCTTGGAGCCTTTTGGGTGCGGATAGGTGCTTGATACAGAATTTAACCCAATAATGTCAGCTGGAGAAACCTCAAAGGTAAAAACCTTCATGCAGCTTTCAGTACAAGCAAAAGCTCCGCAAACTGAAGAGTTGTAGCAAGATTAGTGCCCTGATCCAGATCTGGGCACCCTGATCTGGGCTTGGGGAGGAAGGGGAGAGACCACAACGATGAACAGGAACGTACCGAGGAAATGCTTCCTTCCTCTGAATCTGGTAACTCCGTCAAGGCTGTTGTGTGTTGCTATCAGACACGGAGCTGTTACCTTAAACATTGCTAGTTGTAAATTAGTAGAGTCTGTTATAATAGAGAATAATTATTATTATTATAACTCCCCCCAAAACAAATTAACAACAAACCAAACACAAAAGTAGCTGGCACCCTGAACTTTACAGTATTATGGGTACCAATGGTACAAATTTTTAAAGCTAGCTAGGTAAGGTGGCCAAAGTCCTGCTAATGGGTGAAGACGGGAAAGGATTTACTGTGGTCAGGCCATTATGGAAGTGCAATCGTATAGAAAACCCCTGGTCTTCAAGCACAGAAGCCAGGGTGTTTGCAGAGTGAGCCCAATCAATCAGGAGAGAGCCTGGGGTTGACCAGCTATAAGATGGCATTTGACCTTTAGTTGGCTGAATTAGACCACATACGCAAGAATAAAACTGAGTCACCCAGTAGAAAAGGTTGTACAAAAAGCTTTAGATTTTCCAAAGTGAGGGGGGGTTGTTTGCTTCTTCTTCTCCTGTTTAACTGGTAGATCAACAATCTAGCAGGCATGTAGAAAACAGTTTGGTTTTTTTCCCCGTAACTTGCCTAATACTCTTCGGTTTTAAGCTAGTAGGATCAAGAAATGCCATGAAATCTGCAAAGGTTTTGGAGTGCTTTTGCCAAAGTGAATGATGCCCGACTCATCTGTAGCTTCCAACCCACCACCTTGTTTTCACAGCGAGATCAGTTTCAATTAACTGAGGAAGGACAATTTCTCCCTCAGTAGGGACACGCGCATCAGGCTTCACGTGCACAACCTCCACTTCACTAACAACTTACACAGCAACTTGGTTTCCTGACCGTTCTCCCGAAAGCTTCAAACCCAGAGGAGACTCATGGAAGGGATGGTCCTTTGGGTGAGGACACAGCAGACCAACGCCGATGCAATGGATTTCCCTCTCTAACGCTCCTCAAGTAGCCTAAGCAGATGGTGTCACTAGCGATCAGCACTCGGAGCAACAACATGGGCACGTTAAGGCTAAGATCCTGGTTCAACAGCCAACCCAACCCAACCCCCAAAAACCAGGGAGACACCATCTGCCTAAATGGTGCGGCCAGAACAGCAGGAAAGAGCAACCGAAGCTGCAGCAACACCTCACGCCTGGTCTGGTCTGGTCTGAAGAGGACAATCCTGTCCCGCCTCTGCTCCCTCCTACGACTGCACGTTCCCAGTGCCTTCTCCAGGCTGTACCTATCGCGACCGTAGAAGTTGAGTTGGCGAGAGCCCTCCATTAGGTGGGATTCAGCATGACGTTGCAGCACGACACGTCCCTTCTTTCACCAAGCAGAGATTTAAACAACCATCTACTTAATACAATAAATAAACACAATAATGTTCTTTTTATCGCACGTCACAGAGAACATTATAAAACCTCATGAACGTTAGGTCTGATGACCACACCAAGACCTGCTGGCTGAATATCACCACGTGGCAGCTATCACGTAAAACAAATACAACTACACCCTGTATTTACTGTTTTATTTTTTTTTATTATGCATAATAAATCTTTCACACAAAGTAATGAAAAGGATCCCTAAGGTGATACTTTACAGATCTGAAGGAAAACAGAGTATTTGTGACCGTGCCAGACTGCAGACATCAGGACACTGCCAGACCCACATAGCGTTCAAACTCTCGGGAGGGCCAATGGGGCTAGCATGGATTTCAGCATAGATCTTGGTCTGGCTCTGCTGTTTCGGCTTTGGATTGTAACTCCAGCTGTTCCAAACCAGCTGGGCCCTGGGAGCATTGCACATTAATTAAATGCACAAGGAAATTACACGATTGGAACAAACCTGTTCCTTCTGTACTTCAACTCAATGTCATCACAACATGAGGACTGTGAGCAATAATTTACTGTGCGACTCCTACATCGATTCAGCAGCTGGTTTGACCTATTCTATCAGATTGCTGCTTTATGTACCCTTCTCTCTATAAAAAGCCCTTTCAAAGACAAATCGGGTTCTCTCCAGTTTGACACCTGGCTGATAAGCATCTGCTCTGGCTGAGCCCTCTTTCATGAAGTGCTCCGCTTCTGCTGCAGGCAGCGGGGTGGAGGGTGCTCACCTTGGGGCAGGTTCAGGTGCTCACGGGCGGTTAAGACAGATGAAAACCGAGCCATCCCAGTAGCTTCAGAATTCACCGTTTAAAAGTGCATCTTCGGACTGACCTTTCCAAAGGCTGGGCAGCCATGCTGACTCACAAACACTCTTAAGTCTTTTAATAAAGACAAAATTACGAATCACTACAAGAACCAAGAACAGTTATTCCCCTTTGACGTTTGCTCAAAGACAAAAAAACCCCACCATAAATCCAAAACACAGCATGAACTTACGTGCAGCTCAGTCATGGTTCATTCATTTCTCATATTTTCCTAAGAAAAACTGCATCTCCAGTCTTACTATTGCCATTTCTCAAAAGCTTCTGCCATTTTAAAGTCTTAAATGCTCCTGGGCTGTATATGCCGCTTTGTAGCTATATTTAAATAAATTTGGAAAGCTTTTATTTTTTTCTTTTTTTTAAGCCAGCATTTCCATTTGTGTAGGACTCAAATGGACTTCCACCTCTAAACAAGCAGATAAAAGGAAAGTACAAACCTAGTGCATCCTTCAGGGGAAAATAAAAAAAGGGCGGTGCAAGAAATTCTATTTAAAGCCGCTCGAAGGACTGTCTGAAAGCAAATGCACCCCATTCTTCAGGTCAATAGAAAGAACATGCTGGAGCAGGCAGCGGATACAGGGGGTTGCCATGTATGTTTAGGAAGTAATTCCTTGATATTTATGTTTTGGCATGCAATGAACTGGTGACAGTCCTTCACATAGCAGCACATGGGATTAGAGTGTTTGCACGCATGTGCAACAGGCACCATCAGGAGCCTCCCCAGAGAAGAAATGATCCTCATTTTGAAAAATGAGATGTTCTTTCAAAATCAGGTCAAGCCACTTCTTTTGTTCTTCCAACTGCAGAAACAGGTATATCAGGAAAGGACACTTTAAACCAACATAAAAGAGAAGTATTCTACATTCAGATAAATTTATACTTCTGCCATAAAACCTTTAATAGCAAACAGGGGATTTTCAACACAGAACTTTGCCAAGGATCCCCAGGACACACTGTCACCATTACACACAGTTTTACAGGACATTGGTCTATTTTACAATCTTATAACTATTTTCTTTGGAGATTTTTTTTTCCCACACGTTCAATTTCCAGGAACAACTTTTGCACAGAAGCACAGTAAAACAAGTCTGTAAGGGACCTGACTCTGAAAGCTGGTGTTTCTAGCCCTCTATAGAGTATTTGCCAGTCAAACAACAACAAAAAAAGACTTGCTATTGAAAATCCTCCCACAAACATTCTGACATCTAAATCAAGTGTTTTGAATCTGCCTGGGAGCTAATCTGATTAGTATGCTGCTTGCTTAGTTCACTCGGATGACAGTGTAGACACCAATTTAACGACTGCAGCCTTGACAGTGCCACCGAAATAAAGGGCTGTGAGTGAAAGCACGGGATTAGGTAACGAGCAACCCATGGCAGAATCCAATAGACCATAGAAAGCTTGTCCCAACGAAGCTGCCTCGCTTTAAAGAAACGAAAATACAAATGCTGCTTCCAAATCAAAGTTCACAAACTCTTTCCTTATTTACCCCGTTAAATTAAAAGAACAATCGGGTTTGTGGTTGGTAGTAACATCACACCCCATGTGTAAGGCCTCATTTTCATCAAACAAGCTCTAGGTTATAGGACTATGAATACAAGGTTGCCTACAAGCCATCAGTTCCTCACACCACAGTCTGTTGCCAGCGTGACGGTGGCAATCTGCTTCCAAAACATTGATGTTGGACTGTACACTAGCGGCAAGCTTCATTCTCTGTAAGCTTTGGGGTCAGAGGGTGCACGCTGGAAGGGGTCACGTATTAACACGCGGTGCAGAGTTTCGTTTTCTGTAAGACAGCGTTGTGTTGGCTTGACTGGGGCATCTCCTTCAGCCGGAGTCCATAGTGAAGAGCTGGATGTCATGCGGGTTCCAGTACAGGGCCACCGCGGAGTTGTAGACCAAGGACCAAACGTAAGGGATGAAGAACTCCTCAGGCTGCTCCTCCTCCACATACTTGAACTTCAGCTCAGGGAACTTCTGCAACAAGAAACCAAAGTCCGCTGAGGGAAGATTTGCATGTCTGCAAACACGCAGCCCATGTAAACACTGAAGAAAGAGGTCTGGTGACAAAAATAATGGAAGTAACTGAACCATTAGACCCGAAGGAAAATAATTAGGGGATAAAGAGATCATTTATTATTTCTTCTTTGAACTGAATGCTACATTGGCGTATTGTATTCAACCCTTTTACCGTTGGTCACACTCAATTTGCCTGTTAACAGCAAAGACTAAACACGTGAATCCTTTACAAAACACAAAGGTCTTAAGGAAAACTGTCATTTTTAGCAGCCCCACAAAAGCCTTCTTGCTTGCACACGTACAGACCTGCTTATTGCAGTTTTCCCTAAAAAGCATTTTGCTATTAATTATACTCAGCTCCTTAGCAGGACAATCTTTTGGAAAGGCCGTAAGAATAAACACAGTCTGTGATAAGTTTTCAGGAACCCAGTGTTATGGCAAACTGACTTTTCCCATCTAATTCTCAAAGCCTTTATGTATGTAGAAGTTTCTAGGAAGCACGGTGGGAAGCACGTCTAGGCTCCGTGGGTGGGCTCCTGGGGTCCAGGAGGCCACTTCCAGTTTTGCTACAGGTTCTTCTGTACTTTTGGGTAGGTCATTTACCTCTGTGCCTTGGCTTTCCCATTGCTGAGGAGCACGCTAACGGCATCACTGTGGCAATTAAGATTGCAAAACCCCGCAAGCTCCTCAACTGCAACACGTCACGCATCTATCCCGCTTCAGCCTCTAAGGCTGTAACTGCAAGACCCGTGCACGTAGACCTTATTGCCCATCCGTGCAGATACCCCCCCCGTCTCCTGGAAATTACAGGCCAGGCAATATAGTTTCCACAAAAGCCCTGTTTTTCAGTAGCAGCTTTAAGCAAAGCACTTCCAGGATTAACACACATCAGATGTCCTAGCCCAGCCCATCCTAACTGGATAGACACGCTGCCTCCTCAATTTTCCAATCTTCTCTCATTTCTTCCCTCCCAAAGTAGCACGTACACTGCAAACCTACTGCGTTCAACTCCTGGTAAGCCTGTGTTTTGGGGAAGGGCTGAGCCTACTTTTGTACTGTGCTCTTCAATCATTTTATCTACTTCTAAATGCTGCCTGTGTCAAGAGCTTGGCAGAGTCTCAGATAAAAGCCGCATTACAATGATCACTGGGGTAAGATAAAACATGACCCATTTTATTATTTATAAGGCTGTGGCTAAGACTAAGAATAAACTCTACGGTGTGACATGATCAGAACAAGCACAGCAATGGCCAAGAAGCCTCTTTGCCCATTAATAATGAAGGGATACCCTATCATCTTTCTTGAGCTCACAGCGTCCTGTTTCCTTGCATTAGGGTACAAGACCCTTCTGGCTGGAACAGTCTCCTTTGAAGGAGCACTTCTTGGCCACTTGGCTTTCAGGGTTATTTAGTTAACTTCTACACACCCAGGTTATTTGTATTCTTGGAGCCAGAAAACATGGGAACTATTCTACTCCTTCCTTGAGGCCAATATTCAGCCTGGGAGGAACCATTTTGGCCATCGGTGCGGCTGTCATTATTGTACTGGCTGACTTGGGAACGTGTGGGGAGCTCATCCTTATAGCAATCGGGGAGGGAAGGAGGACAGCATTGTTTTCAGTGCTATTATCTCTGTTTAAGGAACTAAGGCAGCTAAAAAGATAAGGTTGTTCAAGGCACTTCTGCATCTAACTCCTGTTGAGTTCAAAGCCCAGAACCTCAAAGGTACATCAGCAAGTTTCATTTCCTGCATCAGACATGCAGTTTGTGGTGGAGAAGCTCTCCCACAGCCCTTTTGTGCCCCTAAACCGTTTTCTACCACCTCTCTACAACCTCCCTCCCCAAGTCGCTTTTGACCAGCCTGTTTAATCTTCTACATCATTTGGTTTCCTCTTAGACGTCTTGCACCTATATCCACCCCATCTCTAATATCCTGTCTTCTACTTTCCCATCCCCAACTCCCTTCCACTGTACCTTCACGGTCTCTCTTTAGTGTATCTTTCTATTTTATACTTGCCCAAGTTTTCTTTTTTCTCATCAGCCTTACGAGATCGTCCTTTTCATTAACATCCTCTATCCCTTCCCACCTCGGCTCCAAAGCCTCAGGCTGAGCCTGCCTTCCCCCGCTGCCACCCCACCTCTCCTCTCAGGACAGCATGATTCTTTTGGCAGGTTAAGCTTCACTCCAATCAAGCCCTCATGTAGATTTTAATTTTTTTTTTTTTAAATTGATATTCTACTCTGCTTATCCTCAGTATAATCTTCCCCACTTCCCTCCTAAACGCTTCCTGACTTGTGGTCACTGTAGACAGGAACACGTTCTGTTCAGCATTGCATCAGCAGAATGAATGGTTAAACCTCATGATTAAACCACTGCAACATTTCCTAGCAGAGAAAAGCCCTTACACAGCTGTCATTCTTCACCCCAAAGGTGGCTGCACGCCAGTACTGCAGCCTGTAGTAGTCCTTCTGGGAGGGAAGGGGAAAAAAGTGATTAAAGATGCTAATTTGAGTTGAATTAAACACAGATAACTTTTTTCACCTTCAGGGTCACAGATTATAGCTACTGGTTTTGCAAACACTCATGGCAGTAGCCTGGGACCATTCTGGACTCTCAGGCAGCTTAACAAACATCTTTAGCTTTAAAACAGTAGCTAAAATTGTATTAGAAATTCCAATAGCTACATCTGAGATGCTCAGCTCTTACTATCCCATTATCTCCCAGCTGGAAGGACAGCATAAAATAAATCAGGTAGCATTCGTATTTTCAGGCAGTAACAGTCATACATTGATTTTATTATTAAGCCTTTCTTCAGACTGATCAATGTTGCCATCTATTGTGATTGTACCATAGTAATTTAATAATCAATTTCAGATTAAAGACTATAACTCACTGCAATCAGCCTGGACTCTCTCACACTCAGCATATGCCTTGAACACTCTGCAGGTTTATCTTGGAGATGTAGACAAGGATAATGAGATTTCTTAAGGAGAGATACAATACATGTTGCCATTATAAACACACCATTTCAAATATATCTGTATAAAAAGAAGGTAAGTAATGGCAGAAGTGATGGATTTTTGATGGTCCACCTGAACATTAACCCAGGATAGCTCAGTGTATTGCTAACGAGACACGGAGAATTTGACTTTGAGGTCAATAATTCAAACCCAACTTCTTTGGATGACTGCAATGATCTATGGCTACGTGGTGGCCATGTTTTCTCATTCATTTAAACCAAGAAATCCTAGAGGCCCAGCATGGAGAGAACTGTACCAACCTCTATCTTGCACGATTTACCAGCATGGCAGTCATTCACTGTTAAGATAAAAAACTACCCATACTGTTTCACTGCTAGGGTGTTCACCGAAAACGAAATTTGTTAACTTTCAAAATCATCAAATTTAAGTCACCTCGGAAAGTTTCTGACTTATCAGACTGACTTTAAAACAATTTATAATGGCAAGGGTTAAACACCACCTAAAAAGCTTGACCGATGCCATAAAGCTTTAAGATTTTTGATGGGTGATAGTTCAAGGAATGTTTAAATTCAGCTCTGTGCCGTTCACCTCCTGCACGCACTGCTTCCAAATGAGTGATCAGGAGCCTTCACCGCATGCTGCAGACAGACAGGAGATGACACCAAATGAATGTTTCAGGAGAGCCGTAAAACCACCAGGTCACAGGAGTCTCAGGGCACTACCAGAAAACACCCCAGCCAGCACTGGTGAGGGTTTTTTTGTGGTTAACAAAATTCCCAAAGTGGCACGTCAAAGCAGCAATTTCTTCCGCTTTGCTACTCTTGTGTCCATCTCAATTCTGGAAAGACATTTGCTCCCCAGCTGGTGACACCCAAATGAACCTGATTTTTAGCACTTTCTGAAAAGAGGGACCACTCTAAGGCATCTTAAATGGTAGTCTTAATAATAGAGGAAAAGCCTTGGCATGGGAGAAATCATCTTTTTTTCCCTTCACAGCTCTATTCGTTCAGCTGGATGGTGTTGAAATATGTACAAATACTTTGTTACCCGTTCGCTTTGCTATTAAGTTTTTGAACTCATTGCCCCAACATAAATGGGTCCAGCGGAGTCATTATTTGCATTTCTCTCCAGTCATTACCAGAGGAGAGACAACCCCAGCTAGTTTAAAACAACCAACCTGAGACAGTACTTGAAAACTTGAGAGCCAGCGTTAACACTAGGATTTGAACTGCACAATTTAAACACAGACACCACTTACCAGCCCTGGTGAATCAACCTACCACAGCACCCTATCATGTTTTCTTCTGCCAGACAAAGCAGAAGTCAGATTTAGTGGTTGGGACGAGGGTATAAACTAGACAGACCAAGAACTTTGCAGACTGTCTGCACTGTCAATCACATGATTCGATGAAAAACCACAGGAAGTCCGATGAACAGATGCAGAACTGAACTGCAATAACTCCCCTACCGCAAAAGTTCAACAACATCGGAGTTTTTTGGTTTTTGTTTTGTTTTGTGTTTTTTTTTTTTGCAGTTAACGATTAGGAAGATAGCATCACGGCCAGTCAACAGCACCTGGCACGGCTCCAGGCAACTCAGTGGCATTTGAGCTAGAAGACTTGAGCCATACATTAAATAAAAATCCCCTTCCCTTCCCAAATGAACCATCAGAGCTGCTGTGAGGCTGCAGTGTCATGTCAGTGGATGCTCTTCACTCAGATACCATAAGCAAGGGCAGATGGAGCTGCTTTAGGAGTGATGGAGTGAAGCTACGTCTTTGCTTGTTCAGTGATCTAGATGCTCGACTGGATGAAAAGCAGCCTTCATCAAAGAAGCGGGGCACGTGGAAAGGAAAGAAATCAAAGAATTGGATTAACATAAACCTGGAGAATCCTCTTTTCCTCAAGTCCTTGGTTAGAAACGCTGGTTTCTGAAACAGCAATCCAATGTGAGTCAGTATTTTCAAAAGCATGTGAC